AGGAAATGAAAGTTTTTAAGAAGGAAGTGAGCTCTTTGGACGTTCATACTTGGACATTCATGTTATGCTTAAAAATAGGACAGAATTGTCTACCCATCTCCTCTCTAGGTGGGATGAAAACACATTTTAGAACAATGAAAACATGTACACATTTTAATTATATGTGTTTGGGTCAATAATTAAGTATTAATTATGATGGATGTGTTGAAAATGCATCAAAGTTAATGTCTCTGAAATGTAAGAGACTAAAGGTAAAACTTTAGAATTTAGAATCCTTACTTTATTTCAGAATAAAGACTATTTTATGTTCTAATTGGAACCTTACTGATAGGTTCCTAATTAAATCCTAAATCCTAATTAAATTACCTTCCTAATTAAATCCAAGATTGGATTAAGACTGTTGTTTCTTTTGCCTTCCAACAGATTCAAGACATCTTATTGGTCAATATTAACCAAACATTAAAACTCACAGTAGAAATGAAACAGCAATTTATTCTTGGGACAATACATGTTTTGGTAAATGCTAATGATTACTGGGACATCTAGTGGCTGTCATGGGGAAAAACATGCTGTGGTTCTGGGGCTTTTACAAATTTCCAATCTTGTTCTGGAGACACGTTTGCACTCTTGTGGGGCAACCCTGCACAGGCTGAATCCAGGGCCACCATCAAGGGCTGGGCACCTCCTGAGGACCAAAACCAGCAGCGGTTCGACAAGGCATGAGAGCCAGGCGGGGGCAGCAGCTAAGCACAGGGGGCTGGGCTCAGGATGCCTGGGCTGAGTCCCGACTCGGCCACGGAGCTCCCTCGGGCCAGTTGCAGGCTCTCGCCACAGGGCTGCTCTTGTGAGGATAAGAGGAGAATTAGGTAAGCCACCTGGAGGTGGGAATGTAACAGGTGGGAATGTAACAGGCGTGGCCAAGCAAGGCTTGTGAGCCGCATGCAGCTCTTCTGAGTTGCTGCTTTGCTGCTTGCCATTCACTGCTTGTTGCTGCTGCCCATGGGCACTCACCTCCAGCTCTCAAGCATCTGACATTTACCATATGTGGCTTCCACTGAGCAAGCCTTGCCACCCCTGGAATATTACAGGATAGGATAGGATAGGATGTCACGTCACGTCATATCGTGACATGTCATGTTGCAGCCTGCCTGTCATGGTTGCTGAGAATCATCTTACCCCACAAGGGACCAATCCCAAGCAGGTCTGCACCAGTGGCAGCATCAGGATTGCTGGGGTGCTCACCAGATGCCCACGCTGCAGCTACAGCCTACTGACAAGAGCCTCTGGGTTGTTCTGGCCCAGAAAATGGTGTTATGGCAGGGAGAGGGAAATGCTGCAGCCCCCTTACTCGCTGGTTCTCTGCCTGTCAAGGAAGGAAGCGGTAGCAGTGATAAGCAGCAGCACGAGGAGCAAGGGCAGCCGGTTGTGATGGTGGAGAGATGTGAGACCATTGAGTGAGGAGGCCCTTCTGGAGAATCTCATCCCCAAGGGCTGGCACTAGCAAGCTGCTCCCCAAGGGTGCTGGGACCAGCACACTCCCACCACGCAACACAGATACACAGTCCAAGGGAATCCTCCAAATGTATCCAGCATTCATCTTTAAGAGAACTGCCCAGGCCAGGGGGTTCATTTTAGGGGAAAATGGTCTCCAGTAAGTGGATGCACCTTCTAGAAAAACAAATGCAGAAACAGCCTGGGCAGGTATTCCTGGTCAAGCAAGATGCTGAAGGCTAAGCTGCTGTTGCACGAATAAAACAATGACTAAAACTGGCAGGACACTTGTCTCGTGCAGTGTGAAGAACTTCCTGGGTTTGGATTGGAAGAATTCAGTTGGAAACAAGTAGTTTTGCTATGGTTAGTAGTTTGATTAAACTAGCCACCTGCACAACAGCCTGTTTCTTTGGGGCTGATCCTATGAACATAAATAAAAGAACGTAACTCTAACCCTAACCCTAAAAAGAGAGAACGAGTTGCCATTTGGGAGGGTCCATCTAGATTGGATTGACTAGTTCAAGGAAGAGCTGGGAGGGGTTTTGTCACAAGCAGTGGTAATGCATACTCTGAGAATTGCATTTCAGAAGCATCTTCCGAGATGGGAAACTGTAACAAACAAACCTGGTTCCCCAGACTGCCATGCTTCCTTCCTCTTCCCCTATTTTCCCTCAATCACCAATGGATGTGATGGTTGTCAACTTTTATGCTGTTTCTCCCTCCAACTCCCATTATAAATGAAAGCTTTTCTTAAGGCTTAGTTGCTAGCAGTACAGACTGTTAAGCCAGGTGCCAGCATGTTTCAGTCACACTTGCCACTGCAACGAAACCCACAAATGCTTTTCTGAAGTTGAACTCGACTGGAAGAGGTTCAGTGCTCAAGCCTAGGTGTTTGGATGCACATGCAGTGCTACCTCCATGGCTGTACACTGTGGGTGAAGAACAGTAGCCATGGGCAAGAGATCTTTCAAGATGGCTTGCGGAATTGTTACCATGTTTGCCCTGGTTTTTCAGAATTGGGGAAATTCAGCTTCTCAAGAACCACTGCTTCATTTTCATTTTGATCTATGACTATCCTGATGAAGGGGAAGTATAAACTGAAAGAGCAGGATGGCAGCCCAAGACTGACAGGCAAATGCACAAGGATCTTCCAATTGGACTAAATGAGTTCAAATCTCCAGGGCCCAATGAACTTCATTCCAGAATCATAAAAGAGTTAGAAGAACTCTCAGAACTACTATCTATCATTTTGAGAATTCATGGAAGACAGGAGAAGTGCCAGATGACTGCAGAGGGTGAATGTTGTCCCTATCTTCAAGAAAGGAAAAAAGAAGAACCTGGGAACTACAGACCAGTCATTCTAACCTCAATCTCTGGGAAAATTCTGAAGTAGTTTATAAAACAGTCTGCAACCACCTTGAAGACAATGCAGTAATTACTTGAAGCTCATCAATGGCACATTTTCAGACTGGAGAGAGGTGATAGTGGGGTGCCACAGGGTTGTCCTGGGATCCTCTTCAATCAATGATTTAGATGCGGAAGTACAAGGAAAATTAATTGAATGTGCAGATGACACAAAGCTGGGTGGAATAGCAAAGACAGAGATAAGATACAGGGTGGCAGAGAACAACAGAATGAAATTCAATAGGGACAAATGTCAAGTCCTCCAGGAAGGAACAAGAAACTAAACTACACGATGAGGAACATTTGACTCAACAACACTGCAAATATGAGCCACCAATGTGATGCAGCTGCAAAAAAGGCAAATGCTATTTTTGGCTGCATTCACAGAACCATCACTTCCAAAACAGGTGAAGTACTAGTTCCACTATATTCAGCACTAGTCAGACCTCACCTGGAGTACTGTGTCCAGTTCTAGGCACCTAAGTTTAAAAATATGCAGGAAAGCTAGAAAGGGTACAGAGGAGGGCAACAAGGATAATTCAGGCACTTGAGGCAAAGCCCTGTAAGGAAAGATTGAGAGAACTGGGCATGTGCAGCCTTGATAAGAGAAGACTGAAGAGAGAGATGATAACAATCTACAAGTGCCTCAAAGGCTGCTACAAAGAAGAAGGAAAAGATCTCTTCTTGTTCATTCCAGAGTGCAAGACACAGAATAACGGACTTAAAAGAAACCAGATTTAGACTAAACACCAGCAAGAATTTCCTCACTGTCAGGGCAGTATAACAATGGAACCTATTACTTGGAGAAGTTGTGGGTTCTCCCATGCTGGAGGCATTCAAGGCTCATTTGGACAGTCATCTAAATGGGATGGTGTAATTTAGAGTCATGCAATAGCAGGGTATTGAACCCAATGGTCTTCTGGCCCCTTTCAACTCTACTATTCCATATGATAGCACTCTGCAAGTACTTGAAAGACTGTCACAAAGCACAATATCTCTTCTCGATTGTCCCAGAGAAAGAACAGTATCTCTTCTCGATTGTCCCAGACATGCAGGTTATGGAATAACGGGCTCAGATTACAGGAAGCCAGATTCCAGTTAGGTATCAGGAAAAAATTCTTAACGATTAGAGCAGTATGACGATGTAACCAATGACCTAGGGATGTTGTGGGCTCCCCCACACGAGAGACACTCAAGACACAACTGGACAGCCATCTGAGAGGGATGCATTAACCTGGTGTCCTGCACTGAGCAGGAAGTTAGACCTGGGGGCCTCCTGGCCCCTTCCAACCCTACTATTGCATGATTCTATCAGTCTCTTGCCAGCCTCTGTGTCCCAACCGCTGCAGTATAGGATTGAACCCTGGGCACCATTTAGTCTTTGTACTTAGAAATTGCAAGGCATTCCACCACACAAATACATGCACCACCTAATCTATGCACAGCAAGGATTCCTTTTCTAAGAGACTGACCTTTGTCTGCTTGGCATAATAGCACTTCTGGCCTTTTCCCACTGCCATCTCAGAGCAGGTAAACAGGTATGTGGATATATTGGCATGGTTTGCGGTTGATAAAGGATGCATAGCATACCTGGAGAGGGAGGGAGAAGTTCTTTTTTGCCACCTACTCCATTCTAATTCGAAATACCAAGTAATTATTTGAACTATTTCAAATGTTTTGTGAGCCGCCCCGAGGCTTCGGCGAATGGGGCGGCATAGAAATTTTCTAAATAAATAAGTAAATAAATTTCAAGATGTAATAATTAATTTTAGACTGAACGCCTACAGGACTGGAAGGACTTTTTCTGTCTAAACGTGCATGAAATCACATCTTAGCTAGTGCCACTATCATTGCTACAGTTACAGAGAGGGAACTATGACCTTCTTTCTTACAGTCTGCTTATCTCTCAGATGTGCTGCTGACATAAGCTTGCCAAAGCAAAGAAAGAAAGAAAAAAAAGGTGCTCATAGTGACACACTTGCCTATAATCAGAAGTCGGGTTCAGATGAAGGATTTGCATGAGGAAAAAAAACTTCAAAATCCAAATACAAAGAAAAAGGGTGTGTGTGTGTGTGTGTGTGTTAAGGACCAAAAAGACACAGGTATATACATAAAGGGGCAGTTTAATAACTGATTTAATAAATCCACAGTAAAGCAACACATTTGTTTCATTAAACAAATATATAGGATATAATTACAATTTTAAAACTCCCAAGTACAGTACAGATCTACCAAAAACCAAGTTTCTAATTGGGTGTACTGTAAACCCTAGCTTCATGAAATATCCATTATGAATATCCATTGTGTGCAAAAATACCTGACTTCCAGAAAGGTCATATAGAAGGGATACAGAAATTGTTCACAAACTGTGATATGGCTTTGTGTTATATTGTAATGTAGCAAACACAACAGGTTTCCAAAGATCCTAGCTCTCACCTCAGAGCTGGAAATGCAAATATACTGCTTTGTAGAATTTCCACTTCTCTTTTGGAAGAAAAAATATATATAATATAGTGCACTTTGCTCAAACTAATACTGCAATTTTGACTTAGGATGGGCACAAGGGGAGAAGTATTGGCCAGTCCCAATTACAAATGACACCAGAAATCCACCAAGTGGGCATCAGTGTAGTTTGATTTAGGTACCAACTACCAACATACATCATATGAGTTTGCTTTTCATCAAATGATAGCTTTAAAATGCAGTATTATGGCACAGTTTATATGAAATAATTGATTTTTCTTTTTAAAAGGTATGTTCTAAATAATTATCCAATATGCCTTCATATAATAATTTTTAAAAGCCCTCATCAGAAGATTAAAATATTACAAAAATCACATTATGAAGGATACTGATTTCTAACTATATGTCCTAAATATCCAGTTAGTCAAAATATGCTGGCAATTGGTAACACTGATATGTATTTCTGTTGTCAGTTGTGATAATCTGGAACTATCTTTTTTAGCTCTAATTGCAACTGATGCAAACATTTAGGAAGAAAATAAAATGTTTCTAGCTACATTTTCAAAGTTGATTGCCTCGGATTTCATAGCTGAAGGCCAAAACTAGCAGACTTAGCCAAAAAGTATAGTCAAAACTTATACAGCAAAATCTTAGTTCATGTTGGAGTTCTCTTTAGAGTAATCAAAGTGGTGTAAAAGCAAAGAAAATGAGGCCAAATCCTGGTGTTTTTGGTTCAACATTAAAATCTATGTCCAGTCTGGTTTTGGATTATCTATTATCCAAATGCAACACCGCTGTTTTATGCTGGCTTTCCTTCAGTTTCCCTCTTCTCCATGCTCAAAATGAAGAAAAACCCAATAATTTGGTGCCTGCAATGCGGTTATCAAGGCCTGCGATTCAGCACACAGATTAGAAAGGAAAATTTTACTTGTAGATCACTAGATAAGGGGGAAAAGGCAGTGGGTGTGCTCCCCTGTTTGACAGAAAGGGAGGACAGTTCACCAAATCACTAACATTTCACTAGCACACTTCAGCACATCATCATGCAAAAGCCACAAATTTGTTGGAAGGAAATGCAAAGAAGAAATGGAGCCCAGACTCTGAATTCTGAGCTTTAGGGACTGCAGCGTATCCAAAGTCTTGGTTCTTTTATTTCCAGAATGTCTATATTATGTCTACTGATTTGATCTTTACATTTGATGCAGTTTCTAGAAGGGCCCCTTCTCTTTCAGTGAAGCAAATCAATCAGTTCTACAGCATATTCATTTACTAGATTTAAGAGCCATACTAACCAAATGGTTTCTTGGAGCAGCTTAAAACATTAGATATTCAAGATGATCAGTAAAAATTGTCTCAAGAGCCAACCATATAGATTTGAAGAAATTAAATATATACTTTTCTATGGTAGAAGTCCTTTGCTGAACGTTATAAAAGACTATTGATATTTGCACATAGGGTGGATCCAGCCCCAAAGTCTTCAGTTAAACAATCAGTAGCTTGTCTTGGCTAAAGACCTTTTATAGTTTATAATTTTAAAGCTACATTTTCCAAGACTGGTTACTGTAAAAGCTATATGTCCCAATACATATTCAAGTTTGTATGAAGGGTTTGTGTTTTCCCTGCAGCATCTTTTTAAGCAAGGTACTGAAACCTGTCTGTTTTTGTAATGGGGAAAATACTGTGTAACCAGTTCAAAGATCATTAACTTAATAGATTATGGACATGATAGACCTTGTCAACTCTATTTAGACTCAAGTAGTTAATTCCTGATGCCCTTTGGGAGGGTAGGCAAGTATTGTTAGACGGTTAACAAATGGCCACATAGAAAATATCTGCCCAACCATAATGTGATCTGTAAACAACCTGTTGGAAAAAAATACATTGGCAAGAAAACCTTACCAAAAATTAACAGTGAGAGAGGAAGGGTGAGTATTCATCTTCATTATTCTAGCCCAGTGCTTTAGCCAGTTCATCTTTCTTGTCACACTGAGTGCCAAGACAACTCCAGACCTAGAAGGATTCCCATCCTATTCGTAAATCCTGCATTTATTGCTTTGTGGTCTTTTGGCTGCATAAAAGTATAAGGCAGCAAGCCCCCTACCCCTACCAAAAGTGTGGAAAATTAGGCACTGGAGCTCTGACAGTTTGCACAAGGTTTGCTCTCTTCTTGCCTGTAACTCTGAAGTTGGATGGAGCACTGATAGACTCCAAATGTGTTCATCAACAGTCGTCTGGCCTTGGACTGGACATCCTCCCATTTTGATGAGCTACCAGGAACTAAAAAAGCAAGAAAACTGTATCAAATATCATGCAGACACTACATCATCCATTGGTTTGTGGGGCTGCGAAAGACTCCCAGCCTTCCCCATCCCAGCTGTATATTGTGTATCCTATGTGTATCCTATAAAATACATGTTTCTAGTTCCTTCAAGAGAACAGATATGCAAAATGGTACAAAGCATTTTACAAGGCTGGAGTACAGGGGAATGACATCTGTCACCATCCAAAGGGCCAGGGATATTTGCAACTTACAATGCTGCCCTTTCATGCAGGCTACCAAGAAGGGAAAAACAAGCTTGGGGCAGCCATTGTCCAGAGAACAACTGGCCCACTTTCTCTCTCCAGAAAAAAGCTGTTCCAGAGGCAAGAGTGGCCTGCCATGGCCCATTTTGGCTCAAGGTGTATTGTGTAGTACACCCCGTCTATCTCACTTAGAACTCCAGAAAGCAAAGATCAGCCAGGCCATAAATGCTTGCAAGAGCTTTGATAAAAACTGGCTGTTCTGTTCTGTTGTGGTTAACTTCTCTTTTTCTGCAGCTGTTCCCTGTTTGCTCGCATGCATGGTCTCTTAGACTTCAAGGCTTGCGCAGTCCGGTACACACAGTCACCGCAGCCCAGCCCAGCTTATTCGCCAGTGGGCTGCAGCCCCTGTGGGCACCAAGTTGGCAATCCAAGTGTTTGCCATGATGACTTTGTTATGTGCAATCCCGGTGCCAGTGGGTTGTTGGGGCGGTTAACAAGTGACCCAGAGCCCATGGGTTGTTTCATAGTTGTGAGTGACTTGTCAACACACAACAACATACCCTCCCAACAACATACCCTCACAGTTATTTTGAATATTCGGGTGTGCACTGGGGGTACACTGTAACTTTCATGTGACCAGAAGCTACAGTGTGCCTCCACTGCATGCTGGGATATTGAAAATGGTTGCCGCTGCCCCAGCGAGAGAGCCAATGTGGTGTAGTGCTTCAGAGAGTAGGACTGGGACTCAGGCAAGCTGGGCTCCAGTCCCTGCTCAGCCATGGAGCTCACTGGGTGACTTGGGCCACTCATAGACTATCAACCCAACCTACCTCACAGGGTTGTTGTTCTTGTGAGGATGAGACTGAGAGGAGCAGGAGAATTATGTCAGCTATTTTGACTTTAAAACCTTGAAAGGACAAAAGGTGGGATAAGCTAAATAAGCAGTCCTGAGGGAAAATTCACCCATGGTGGCATCTCAATGAATGAAAATTGGGCCTGTGCCTTTTATTTTGTTTTATGCACAACACTTTGAAGCAAAAACTACAATATAATAAATGTAATCTATTCATAGGAGTCTATTTCATTAGCACAGCAACCTGCTATGCATGATTCCCATCTCACTTACCTAATTGCAAGTGGACTATGGCAATTGTTTTTCCTGAAGTTAGTGACCAAACATTCAGGTTTTCCACTGAAAACACATCTTCAATTTTCATTAACTCTTCTTTAATGAGCTCCACATTCAAATGCCTTGGAACGCCTTCAAATAAAAAAAAGAACAGGTTTAACTTTTTTTTAAAAGGCATAAACTAATACTGAACTTGGACTAATTTTAAAAGGTTAAAATTATAAAAAGTTAAATAGGGCAAACACCTTCAGACAAAATGCTCTTGTCAATACTATACGCATCCTGACCATTTTATGCCTAACTAACTGACAAATGTTTTCAGTTACTTGAAAATGTATACATTTATTTGAAAGCAGAAGTACACTGGTTTTCAAAATGTTTGGTCTTCAGAGATCCCTTTCCATATTACTCACACCTGCTGTGGGGCAAGGGACCAACACAGGAAACCATTCTCCTGCATCTTATATAGGACATTCTGACATCTTTGGGGACAGGCTAGTCCAAAGGACAGCAGACAGAGTCCATTCAAAAAATGTCCACAATTTTTGTTACACGAAGAAACAAGCAAGCGTACATTTTGAATTGTTTGTTGCAAAAATTACATTCAAAAGAGAAAATACAAATATAGCCAAGACAACACAAAGTCTGAAGATGGTATTATTGACATCTTTGACATGCAAGGCAACATCTAAGCCTGGACAGGAATAGCACAAGAACTGCAGAAAGCCAGTACAGCAGACCAAAATGACCTGAAACAACTCCATGTATAACAGAGAACCAACATGAGATAAAACAGCAATTGCACAACCAGTTGGAACATGGATTTGTTGTCTAAATATACCTATTAAAACCAAATTTCAAAGCCTCAAATACCATTGGCTGAGAGCTGACAATTGTGGGCTCTCCCAGGGAAAACCTATTTCCATTTCAATTGCCAGCATAATGAAACACAAAGGCAGTTTATTTTTCATGTGAAGCACAGCTGAAATCATCATTAAAGATTTTAGGTAAAACCAGTTTGGAGCTAGGCATCAGAAATTTAAGTGGCACAGCATTAAATTCTTGAAATGACTCATTCCCAATAGTCTTCAATCACCTTACGGGAGCACCACATAAGGTAGAAAATCTTCCCAATCAAATTATTAATAAACATTTTAAAGATCTTCTAAAAATCAAGCAATTTTAATTGTGGTTTCAAATGACAATTCCAGAAAGTAAGGATTTTAACAACCATTACCTTCAAGTACAATTATGCCAGTGTCCCGTATGATCCGAAATGTTGTGAAAGCCACAAGAACTGAGAATACATATGTGCAGATAGGATCAGCAATCTTGTATTCTGGCTGAAACAAAAGAGGTTAACACCTGGTAACACAGCACCTAGAAGGCGGCCTGATTAAAATTCAAAGAATTTTGTCTAGTCTTCATTGTTAAGCAAACTGACTTAATAATTTCTGGATTAATATGTGAATCAGCTTTCAGAGTTCATACATTCCCAAACTTTGCAATGCAGTTCTTGGCTGAAACACTATGTACAAGATGTTCGTATTAAGAAAAAATTTGTACAAAAATCTGCGTATCAAGGCAAGTTGTATAGGGAAATAAATGCTGGTGTGTGTGTGCACAGAACAATGCAGAAATTGGTTCCAGTGGACTTATGACTGAGTACACATGAAAATGTCATGGACTGGAAATTGGTTTGATTTGTCCATCCCTAGATAGGACTCACTGAATGTCTGCATCCCAGCGTTCACTCGTACTCATTTCCCTTCTCCAGTCCTACTGGACTTTGGGCAGAAGCATAGTTCCAATGGTAGTGCACATGTTTGTGCACAGAAAGTTCCCAGTTTCAAACTCTGCCACCTTCAATTAAAGGACTGTGGGTAGGAGAACTTTAAAAGTCTTCTGCTCCCACCCTGACACCATGGAGAACCATGGCCAGCCAAAGCAGATGGCCTAGACAGTTGGTGGCTGTGGCTACTGAAGGTTGCAGTCCAACAACACTGGGACGGCAAACAATATCCCCAACCACTAGCTTCTAATTCCGATCCTGCAGTTCCTTGAAGGGGCTGAAGCTTCTGTGTGGGCCCAAGGTTTTCCTGGTCCAGCAGTAGTTCTGTGCACACTGAGAGCATATTCAAGCTCATGTGGAGCTCTGGATCAAATGCAGTTACAGAAACGCCATACCAAGAGTAGAGCACGGCATTCATGTGCCATTTCAGAAACAGCCCTGTTCACAGGCCTTGTGAGAAGTCCTACCTTGAAACGGATTATGTATGCAGCGACCAGCACGCCAATACTCTGCACCAAGTCTCCGAGGGCATGCACAAATGCAGCTCTCACTGCCAGGCTGCTGTGGCCATGACTGTGCCCAGATGCTGCAGTGGAGGAGGTGGCTGGAGGAACACAGGGAGGGGCGTGCGAATGGGAGTGAAGGTGGCCTGACTGGTTCAGCAGAAAGCCCATTCTGAAATGTAAAGATTAAGACATGAGTGGCCAGTATCCGATGGTTCCTTTGTGCTGGATGAACCTACCACTAGTGCACTGGGGAGTTAGCACTTCAGAAAGGAAGCAAGAGGAAACACTCGGTGTAGTGGGTAAGAGGGCTGGATCGAGATTCGGGCCAGCCTCTGTTTCTCAGCCTATCCTTTAAGAACTGCTGGCTTCCCACTGTGCTTGCAGTGGGTCCTCTGGGCAGCAAAGGATACTGCCCAGGATCATTTTTAAAAAATGAAGAAAAATACCCTTACTCATTGCCAGATCTGAACCTTAAAATTAAAACATGTTCAGCGAAATTGTAATATTTTAACACTCTTTTCTGAGCACAAAGAACAAGCCACTTATGTTAGTTGCCAGCACCTAAAATTTAATTTCCAACAGACAAGGGTCAGCCCAGTTGCCCACCCCAACCTAACAATGTTTTCTATACGGTCTGCATGCTGGATCTCTACAAGGATGGGATCTAGCTGAGTCTCACACCCTTAACAAAAGGAGACTTTTCTGACAGCAGGATGAGAGCGGCAGCGGTGACCGCACTGCCAGGATAATCTGCAGTCTTGGTTCGTAAGACTCCGAATGCAGCCAGCCTGGTGGGAAGCCAACCAAATGTGATGTCATGCAAAACCAACCCCATCAATGAGAGATTCCAAACTTTTAAAAGGAAGGAAACAGAAAACGTACATGAGGTTTACTGCCACACCAACAGCTGCTGTAATCAGCATGACATCTCCATTGATTTCATAGCCCATGTGGATGGTTCTTTGAACAGCTTCATACAAGAGGAAAACCATAAGGATATAGATCAGCAAGACACTGAACATGGCAGACAAAACCTCTGGAGTACAAGAAAGAAAAGACACTGCTGTTAAGGGCTTAGGACATACAACCTATAACATCATTAAGATCAGCACTACAGATGGGTTAGAATTGACAGTTCCATCTTTCCATGGGCCATACTAAATGGAACTGATGGAAGCCAACCTGGAAAGCACCAGGCTGTTCTGAACCAAGTTTACATGATCATCTGAACCAGATCTTAGTTTCTCATGTGCACGTACATCACATATTCTTCTCTCCCTTTTTGCTCTTGGGGAACTATCTGCATCTCTTTCCCACTTCCCTCCTCATCCTCCTAGGGTGACACATGTGACAGTTGCGGTGCGGCTTCTCACTACCACAGGCGTGATGCAATCACTCAATAGGAACACAGCTGCCAGAACTTATGCGATCTGGCTGATTAATCACTAGAAGATGGCATCATCTGCCCAGGCTACCCTTTCATTCCTGGGCTCTCTTTAAAGTGCTGCTGCTGACCTTTAAAGCTGGAAACTGCCAGTGCATCTTAAAGAATCACTCCTACGCATTATAAGAATTTGCCCTGAAATCAGAACTCAAAATCTAGACAGCTTGGCCAATTTAGAAGGATGATCAGAGGAAGTAGGTGTTCACCAACACTGCAATCCCTTCACTTGGCTCTGCCTTGTGTGCCGCTTCTCCTGCCACCAAGAGCAACTCTGCCATCTGTGCGATGATGGATGGTCGCGAGGGACAGGACTGCCTATGGCACTGACTGTGACTTTTCAGTGCTCTTTTTACAAAGCAGTCCTAATCATGTTTTGTGTTCCACTAAGTTCAGTGAGATTTATTCCTTGGTAGTTGTGTTTACCATTGGAGCCCAAGGTGCAATCTTACACACAGTAACTTGAGAATAGGTCCCATTGAACTTGGTGAGGCGTACTTTTAGGAGGGACTGCACTGAACAATTGTTCTGATTAGATTTTAAACTGTGTACTTTGCTTACTGTCTTGAGCATTTTTGAAAGGCAGGATATAGGATTAATATGCTTATATACACATATTTTCACTCTTGCTTTTGGCTTGTTAGCACCCTACAAACCAAAGGTGCAGGAGTCCTGTCCTCTTTTGCTTCTGGCTACCCTAGAGGTATTCCAGCCATTTTCAAGCTTTCTGTTTCCAGGGGATCTTTTCTGCACCTACTTGCATGCCAAGAAACTTATCCACCTGGGAAGAACCACCCAAGGTACGACGCACTTCAGGACACTCTGTTCGCATGGGGCATTGGCCAGGTCCACAATGCCTCACTGTTGTCCTACATGAGCAGAGCGTACCTGAGATCACATGCCAAACTATGCCCCACAGTTGCACACTGCAGCAAGGTCGTTTGTCCACCATTCTTGACTGTTTTATTAAACCATCCCAGTTAAGCTTTTGAGGACTTCCAAGATCCCCTGGAACAGTCTGAAAGTACCTGCTGAATACAGTCCCTGGATCTTTTGATTAACCACTCCACAATTAAAGTTTACTGGCTACAAGACTGGTACTGTGCAAATTGTTCACCTTTTGCTACTGTTAATACTAATACTGTGCTCCCCTGTAGCCTGAAGTGCCTGATCTTGCCTAATCTTGGAAGCTAAGAAAGGACAGGCCTGGTTGAAATCTGGATGGGTGACTTAATGTTGTGAACCACTCAGAGAGCTTCGACCCTGGACAGAACAGAAGTGAAAATTATAATAATACTGACTGGTGAAGTTGTTAGGATAGTGTGGATTGGAAGGATCTCAGTAGCTGAACTCAAACATATTCTTCAGCCATACAAGTATATGAATCCAGTATGATTTTTCTGAACTATTCCTTCCCTACCCTTTCTCACAGCCTTCAAAGAGATTTTTTTCTTGAGCGGCCTTGGGGGAGAGGGGGAAATATATCCATAAAAATATCATTCTGTAAGTCCTATGCATACTTAGTGGGAAGAAAGCCCTGCTGAACTCAGTGGGACTTACTTCAGAGTAGACAGGGATATGATGGCACAGTAAAGCAAAAAACACAAGCACTTTTTCCTGGAGGCGAGTCCCACGGACTATAGTGAACCCTGCTTCCAAGTAATCATACATTGGATTAGATTATAGATGCATATGATATAAGAAACAAGATGTACAAGCAGTACCATTAAAATGCTAGCAGAGGCCAGTGAGGGAAAAATAATGTCAAAGTATCCTTTTACTCTATCTAGGAGAAAGGTTAAATTTCATAATTTAGTCTGCCAAGCTTTCTTATTCCTAGATAGAGATATTTTCCTCCATACAAGCTGTACAGTATCCATTCATTATTAAAGCCATACTGTACAACACTGTGTAGTAGCAAATCTTCTTGGGGCTCAAACAATCAAGAGTTTGGCAGCAATGAAACTTTTCTTTCAAGAGTTTTTAATTTTGTGGAATGAGTATCCTCTTGACCGAAATACAACCCACTGAGGCGAAGAGCAGTATTCAAAGGCATTTAAATACACCCTGGCGCTTAGTATTATTTGGCCATTCCCATGGAACATCAAAGGACCAAAAAAAGTTGCTGAAAAATCTAATTATAGCTTTAAAAAAGTCATGTGAATAGTGAATTGAATAATGCAGTCAAAGTCCAACCTAGCAGAGGCAAGAAGAGGCAGAGCTGAGTTAGTGGGCTTTAAAATGAAAAACAGTATTTTGCCTGCTGACTTTCATATAGATTGAGAAATGTTTTCTAAAGGCTATTCCAACTTTAGATGAATTGTAATGGTTTCCAGGGACATGTAAACTCATTTACAGTACCCACAAGTCATGTGCACATTGGACACTCTGAAATCAATGGTACTATTAGTAATTATCATTTTTATGATTATATTACATATATATGATTCTCCCCATGTTAACCTTATAATAATCTTGTAAACTTGGGGCCGAGAAAGAACTAAGCTGTAGGGAGTTTTTGACCTCATCCAGTTCTCTAAAACCATCGTGTGTCAGAGGTTTGATGACTCCATTACACTGGAGCAAGCCAATCTCTGGGCTGGATTGTAACCACAGAAGGTAGTGGTGCTTAGTTTGGTCAGGACCGGTCAGATTTCACATATCAAATGGACTACTAGCCAGCTGGCCAGTCTGCCAATACCCTGGCTAAGGTCTTCTCATTTTTAACCAGGTTCCAGCTCCAGAACCTGAGTTGAATAATAGGCAAAGTAATTACCTGGCAAAACTGTTAGCAAGCAGCGTTCCAGCTGTGATCCTTCTCTTCCTTCCATTAGGGAACCCATTCTAAATCCGTAAATTCATATTATTTAAAAGTTCTCACAAACTGCCAGCCCTTGCCATAAGATGGTACACCGTTTACAGCAGCCATCCCCAACCTGGTGCCCTCTGGGTATGCTGAACTACAGTTTTCATGGCCCAATGCATCTGGAGGACACAGGATGGGGAAGGCTGGTATAGGCATTTAATGCTAGAATTTTCTACCCTTTGACCTAAAAGATAGGCTTAACTGCTAATTGGCATGTATAGACTGGCTAGAATATTGAGAACACATGAAGTCACATACCTAAGCGATGGAATCCAAAGGTGAACTTTTTTGTGGGTGATTTTGCAGACAGCCACAAAGCAAGCAGGGTCAAAATAATGCCACTGAGGTCAGTTAACATATGAAGCGCATCAGTCATGATTGCTAGACTATTGGCGATGTATCCACCTTAATGCAGAAGTTTAAAAGGAAGGGGAAAGTATTAGGCACATGATACCTGAGGACCTTTTCAGACACATTACACTGAGGCAAAATCAAGTGTACACTCAACAGGGATCCGCAGCCAGTTGTGTACTACTTTTGCCACATTCAGACATCAGAAATGTACATAATAGTACATAACATTGGTATTATAAATCATGAAAAGGAGAAAAACAGATGCAAATACACACTCCAGAACTCCACATGACTGCATTTGGCAATTTCACGTAAAGTTAAGTAGCATCTGAGACAAGACGGGTGTCCAAAGAATTTCATACTGATAAGTCCACAGGGCAGAGCAACACCCCTCAAGTTCCACCTTCAGGAACCAGCCTCCAAGTGGAACAGGCCCACTGCAATGCAGTACCCTCTCAACTCAGTCACCCTTTGGTGCAGGGTGATGAAAGTGGTTTCTGTGCCAAAGCTTGGCCTGAGACCCAACTAAGTTGACTATCCCCAGTAGGGTGGCCAGATGAAAAAGAGGATAGGACTTTGCACCTGTAACTGGTGCAAAAAAAGAAGGAATTTCAGCAGACTCACCTGCTTAAATTTCCCCTTTCAATGGTGCAGGAGTCCCATCCTCTTTTGTATCTGACTACCCTGTTCTTCAGCCTGGCACCCCCTAGATGGGTGGACAGCATTCTACTCTCTACTCACCATGCTGAGTGACAACAACGGGATATGCTGTTCAACACTTCTGGAGGCTGCCATGTTGGAGCAGAGGGTTTTTAAGTAACTCTACCACATTTTTAAAAGTTTGCATTAAACATAAACTTCCAAAGTTGGAAGTTTTTGTTCAGACAAGCAATCTCCTAAGGGATTTGTATCATTTTAATAAATAACTGGAGCTACCATTCTCACTGTTACAGATTATAAAAGGGATTGTGCATTTGTTGAGTTATGGCAGTGGGGTGAAAGGAGAGGGAACCCACATTCCTTAGCTTTTGTGACAACTCCCTTAGGTACTGGTTAAGGTCACATGCAAGGTGTGGCCTGAAGCTTTTATTAATGGTTCCCTTTATCTCCTTCATCACAAACCCACACATGCAAGCTTGAGCACTGCTTGAGAATTAAAAAAAAACCACCCAGGTAGCCTTCAAAGCAGCCTGTGCTAGAACATAAAGACCTGGGTGAGTGCAGGCAGATGAGAGAACGCACATGGTGCCATACAAATCCAGAAAGACATCATTCCTCAGAATGATGATCCACACCGCTCTCTGCCTTTAATCCACCTCTCTGGAAGTGCCTGGCTCATGCACCAAGCGGCCTCCTTCTTTCTAAATGTTTCCCAACATCCTTATGTAGTGGGTGAGAGACAGACTTCAAATAGCCATGCCAACCTCCCACTCAATCATAAGCCTGATATCTCCTGGCTGTCCTCAATGAGCCATGAAGGACAAAGGTTTATCTCATGGATGGCTGATCACAGGCTCCTTCAGAAGCCACTTAGAATATTCAGAACTCAGAATAATGGGAGTGGGGGGATCGTGGGAAGGTCATCCGTGCACAGCGTACTTTCTGTGAAGATAGAGAGCTCAACGGTTATTTATCTGTCCAGAAGCTTGGCAGTTGATCAGTCAACCACTTTAGGGCCTTCTTTGGTGAGCTCAAGTGCCTGAGGGTTTCTAGACCATCAAATTTCTCTCATTTTTGCTATTGGGCAATTTTGCTTAAATTCCAGTCCCACACATGGTTCTAAAACCACCTTCAAGAATGCAAGAATGGTGCCTTATAAAGCAACCCTGCCAATAAATTCATGGAATTGAACTTCCCTTCTGAGTTTTTATTAACCACACCTGCCTGTATCTAATATATGTTAGCTATTTGTGACACAGTGAAGAGCTAAATTGGGGCGGTGGGGGTGGATTGTGATTGTGTACAGTGGTACTTCGGCTCACAAACACCTCAGTTCATGACCAAATCAGGTCACAAACAGAAATTTCAGAAAAAAATTTCCTCGGGTCGTGAACTCCACATCGGGTGACAATCACGATCGCACCCATCTCCCCCCGCCGAGTGTGCCCACAATTGTGCCTGTCTCCCCCCACCCAGCACGCCCACGATCGCACCCATCTTGCCCCAAGTGCGCCTGCAATCACGCCCATCTCTCCACTGAGCGCACCCATGATCGCACCTGTCTCCCCCCTGCCCCGAGTACGCCCACAATTGTGCCTCTTCCCTCTGATTTAAAAAAATATTTTACAGAACAGATTAACCTTATTTACATTGAACCTTATGGGGAAATTTGCCTTGGCTCATGACCAGAGTCGTGCAACGGATTAAGTTCGTGAGCCAAGGTACCACTGTAAATTAAACTGCCTGGAAGCAGTCCTAATATAGCACCGTTGGCCAACTCTTCAGAACAGTTCTATAATGGGAAGGCAACAAGGAAGGAAACATGACATTTTGAAATAATCCATGGTAAAAAACCTTGTCTCTCACTGTTTACAAAAAGTGAACAAGTATTGTTAATCTTATTGCATATGGGGAGCTGAGGCCTTAGTGTGTTTTAGTAAAGACAAGACGTGATCTTTCAACTGGGGGAGCTTCCTTCTTTCACACCCTGTACGTGGTTTGAAGAACTTGCCTCGATCTTAAATAAAACAATGGCATATTAATGGAGCTCATCAATGCAATTAGCTGTTGAATGAAGCCCATGAAACAGGAAGTTATGGCCTTTCAGACCCATAGTTTTGTTCACACGTAATGCTCAACCCATGGTTTGTTTAACCTACAGCAAAGCCATGGTTTGTTGTTCTAACCAAGGACTGTCCAGCAGATGATCAAACAAACCAGTTTGTTCTTAAACCCTTCTCCTCCACCCACTTCTTCCCTGTATCCCAAATACCTCTGTGGCACTATAATACTAGGCATGCAGGGCAGCTGGGCTTTGCTTTGGTTTTTTAATTGTTCTTGCCCACTGCTGCTACAGCCTGGTTACTTATGGAGCTCTGAATCAACATACCCAGTAACAGGGATGATCCATTTGTGAGCATGGCATCCAGTCCATGGACTGCAGGTGACTAACTTAACTGAGGAAAAACACATATTCTGCAACAAGCAGGATATCAGTTCCCCACCATGTTAAGTCCTACTGTTCTCTGCAATGTATTTGATTGCAGAAGTTCAATATTCCATAACAATACCAATCAGCTGCTTTCTAAAAGGTCCAGATTATGACACTCTAAAAAGGAAGTCCAGGGATACAAAGTACAGGAGGAGGAGCAAGTGGGACCTGCAACAAATTGTTGCAGCATGAAGTGCTCCTTTTCCAGGCCTTCCATTCAATTCCAATTCCCTGTGGGGTTTTCTATTCCCTCCTTCCTTCCAGTGGCCAAAATGAATTCTGTAGTCACTCCTTGGGGTTCCCTCAAGCCTACTGACACCTCTGTCTTATGCACAGTAGTGCCACTTTGGATTACAGTCTGCAGCTGGAATAAAGATTGGTTGTCTGTTCCATGCCTGTGAGAACTTTACATCCTATGAATACCAGGGAGACCTAGACATGCCTGGATTGTAGCCACTATGTTCTGATGATTTTATGAACTTTAAAATAAACACACAATTATCTTTAGGACTACAAATCTTGACCTTTGTATATATGCAGGTATTATACAATCAAGTGCTATCATGTCTAAAATACCATAGAGATACCATGTATTCCACTAAAACAAAAACAAAACAAAAATCTCTTTTAGTATAAGAACTACCTGTTGGAGATTTTTTTTCTCCCCAGAGAGTAGCCAAGTCAGTTTATTGCCACAAAACAAACAAACAAACAAATCTTGCAGCCAGAATAATTAGCCTTTAAATTGTTGTTTTGTAAGTTTTTCTAAATTTACATGTTCCAGAGTAATTCCATAAATGCACACAGAATGGCTCCTGAATAAAGAGTTTGCACTAAATAGGTACAAACACAATGGCCATAATTCAACAAAAAGGAAAATCAGTTGGGACCATCCCAATTAGACCAATAGAATGGGACTAATGAAAATTAGTGGCCCACCAGCTCTCATGGGATAGACATTTGTTCTGTTGTCCTCGAGGGTGAACTGTTATGGTGTAAATTCCACACAGGTCACAAGAAAACCACTTGCTGAAGGCTGTACCTTCAGACAAAAGTCTGTCGCACTCATGGCTCAAGTTGCCATGCGGCAGGCAGGCAGACAGACAGACCAATCGGCATCACTTTTTAATGGGTTACAGGGGGAACACAATTATATATATCCCAGAATATCCAACGGCTTGTGCGGTTTCATTTTTGTTTCTTTGTAAATGGCGCGCATATGAAGTAGCAGAACCAGTTGGCACAAGAGCAGTTCCCAACACTGGCGCTGCACTTTTAGGCTCCTTTTCCCCTTCCTTCGTGTGCTGCTTTTGCTTACTCAAGGTTTTCTCTGAAATTGCTGTCTCCCTGCAACACGATCACCCGTTGTGCATGGTCCCACTGTGTAAATAATTTAAAAGCTCCCATGCCAAGCACTGTAGCTTCACAGAGCAAGTACAAGACTTCAGCGTCCTTACCTACCTACAAGCTCCCCTGTCATAAAGAGGAGATACAGCGCTGCTGCCAGGACCAGGCGCCTCTTCACCCTCCGCTGCTTCAACAGTTCCCTTTGTTTGCTGCAATTGTTGCAAGGGTCTATAGTACCAGGTCCAGTCTGGGCGCTCCGCAGAGCCATGTCCCTGTCCAGCAAGGACTCGTCATCAGACTGAGGTCCCACATGAGCCCCGTTGGCAGAAGCATCAGCTGGGTCATCAGAAACGACATCTCGCAGTTTGTTCAACCTGGGGAAGTCCTCCTCGCCAACCTCATCAGAAAAATCAAAGGCACTGCAGTCGTTCAAGAACAAGGAGTCGTCTTTCTTTTTCAGCACAGACTTGAGGCTGTTCCAGATGCCAGAGTGAGCCATATTAAGTTGCTGTCCAGGAGCACAGCTGGCTGCAGACCACGGGTCCTTCTCCTCAGGCAACTTCCCCTGGCAGGCTGGAGGATTTCATGTTGCTATTTTTTCAGGTCATCTTTCATCTCGAGAAATCCAGATGTGTTCATTGGTGGAACAAAGCTACAGTATGCAAACAGATGGCGGTTAGGAAGAAAACGTTTAAAGACCTCTCTCCCCTCATTAATACCAAACCAGCTCTTTCTTGCAACCCGGAAAGCATTCTTGGCTGGCCTGAAAGGTTACAAAGTCTAAGAAGGAGAAGCTGCCTTCGCGCAGATTAATCCTGTGCCTCTCCCTTTCCACCCTTCCATCTGCCAAAATTGCCACTGTAGGCACGTGGGGGCGGAGACCTGAGTGCTTTGTTAATCACGCTCTGAAGTGCCGTGAGGGGCTAAGCATGAAATCATCACTAACAACCTAAAACATTTCGAATGGTTCCTATCCCTCTCTTTCTTTTCAAGCCACTTGCCCAAGGCGTCAAACGTTCCAGGGGCTCATGCTCGGCCGCAGCTGGAATACAAAAGCGTTCAATAGCGAAAGCCCCTGACAAGAGAAGAAGCCGCAATTCATCCGTGCTGAACAAAGCCATGGCACGCAGCGAGGCGCGGGCATCCTTGAGGCGCAGCTGCGCGCTCGCTTCTATACCACCCGGAGCGGCGGGAGGGCGAAGCAACCGCGGGAGCCATCGCGGCGCGCCCGACCAGGAACGGGGTCCCTGGCTGCACGCAGGGATGGCGATCTACCTGCGCGCGCGAAGGAGGCGTCCGCCGCTTGCCCGGGATCCTGCCCTTCAGGTCATTCCCCCGAGCCCCTAGCCGGCGAGCACGAATGGCCAGGCGTTCCTGCGCGGCCAACGGGGGCAGAGCCCGGCTGCGAGGGGATCAGCGAAGGAGGGTGTGGGCTTCTCGGTGTAAAGATGCATTCCTGAATATTCATCAAGGCATCTCCTCCTCCTCCTCCTCCTCCGCTCTCCGGAAAGCGGCGGCGGCATTACGGAAAGGGATCTCCGCCGAGCTCTCCATCTCCGCCGCTGCCTCTTGGCCCGACGACGCGCCTGCGCCCCTGGAGAGCCAAGGCGGAGAGGCGCGGGGCTCCCAGCAGAGGCCTCCGTGAAGACTCGCTTTCGCTTTCCCCAGCCCACCCGGATCTCGCCGCCGCTCTAGCGGGCGCCCTCGTCTTGATTCTTTCCAGCAAGTCCTTCCTTTCCGACCATTTTTCTTCTTCCCCCGCGTTGGGTTGCCGTTCTGAACCTAACCGAAGCGCTTCAGTTCCGAACGCCGCAAAAACTCCTGGCCGACCGCGTTCCCACGGCGCCAGAGTTCGGGATCACGCGGCCAGCTCCGATCCCGTGCCCACGAGCCTGCTCGAGGCCAGCTGCCGCTGCACGTGCTCCCATCCGCTGGCGCCGCGCCGCGCTCTCGAAAGGGCTGCACGCGCCGGGGACTTGGAGCGCGCTGGGAACTGGGGGCCGTGGAGAGTTTGGGGGCCGGGGTCGCACGGCTTCCTGTGCAAGAGGAGGGCAGTTGCGTCTTTTCTCCTAATTTCCCTTTCCAGGACATAATTTTGTCTTGTCGATTTCTCGTTTACATGTGGGCATTTATTAACTTTTTAAAAATGCCTGAGGACCTCCTACATGGCTAACTTCGCATCCTTTTAAAAAAACCTTCTCGACAAGTCAGGTCAGGCTGAGAGTGAGCCTGGTTCCAGGTCACCCCAGGAGAGTCATGGCTAGGTGGAGAGTGTGCAGGCAGGTTTCCTTAGACTTAAGTCTGACACGCCCACCACCACCTTTATGTTTAATTAATGCACTGTGTTTACATCCCTCCTTTCTTCCCTCCGCTCCATTTTATTTTCACAACAATCCTGTGAGGTAGGTTTGAGAGTCAGGACCTGCTCAACCTCTCGTTTTCAACTAATCCAGGTGAGGCAGTGGCTGTACAGAACCGGTGCCTGGCCGAGGTAATGGGCTGGATGAGGGCCAATAAACTGAAGCTCAGTCCAGACAAGATGGAAGTCATGTTGGTGGATGGTTCGGGCTTTGGGGTGGGGGACTTGGGCCTTGTCCTAAATGGGGTTGCACTCCCTCTGGGGGACAGGGTTCGCAGCTTGGGAGCGCTCCTCAACCCAGAGCTGTTGTTAGAAGCTCAGGTGACAGCGGTGGCGAGGAGCGCTTTTCTTCAGCTTCAGCTGATCCATCAGCTGCGTCCCTACCTGGAGAACGACTGCCTGGCGACAGTGACCCACGCATTGGTAACTTCCTGATTAGACTTCTGTAACGCGCTCTATGTGGGGCTGCCCTTGAAGACGGTCCGGATACTTCAATTGGTGCAAAACAGAGCTGCCAGGTTGCTGACAGGGACTGGGCATTGTTCTCATATAACCCCAGTCCTCTGTCAGCTTCTTCCCTGGCTTCCCATTGAAGTCTGGGCCCGATTCAAGGTGTTGGTTATCACCTATAAAGCCCTGAACGGCTTGGGACCTGGTTATCTAAAGGAGCGCTTGCGTCTATATATGCCCTCCCGCCCCTTGAGATTGGCGGCAAAGGCCCTTCTCTGGGAACCCTCCGTGAAAGACAGTAGGAGGGTGAGCACCCGGAGGAGGGCCTTCTCTGCGGTGGCACCCCACCTATGGAATGCGCTTCCCAGAGAGGTCCACCTGGTGCCGTGGTTATTTGTTTTTCGGCGCCAGGCCAAGACCTTTTTATTTAAAAGTTATTTTAATTGTTAATTATTGATTGTATTTATTGGGTTTTTATGCTTGTGCCGAGATGTTTCCAGTCTTTTAAGGTTAATTATATGATTGTTTGTTTATTTTGTAAGCCACCCCGAGGCTTTTTGTGAATGTGGCGGCACAGAAATGTTCTAAATAAATAAATAAAGTCCTCCAGTGAGCTTCCTGGCCAAGTGGGCACTAGAATCCAGCTGTCCAGCATCCCCATCCTACATTGTAACCACTGTGCCATATTTACTGTAGTACACATCTATCCCATCTTTTTCTATCGTCTGTTAAGGTGGCTATATACAGTTCTCCAACAGCGCTGGCAAGACTCAGCCCTGCTTAGCTTCAACAACGTGGTCCCTTCATATGCCCTGGGACCTACAAATCTCTGCATACTTACCTGGGAATAAGTCCCCTTTAAATCAGTAGGATTTGCTTCCTGGTATACCTTCATAAGATCAGGCTGTAAGTCCGGTATGCTTCTCTTCTAGGTATATAAAAAAAATGTGTTCACAGACTGCACCAAATACTGTATGGAATGAAGAGTGACGGGGTGGGGGGGGAAGCTGAATTAGTACTTAATATGAGCCCCCTGCTCAGCCCCCAACCCCCCTTAATGCCCTGAAGCACATAAAAATAAAACAAAAGAATATGCACTAAATAGGATGTCTAAGCATATACAGCACATATTTTTCTCACCAGTGAATGAGCACAAGAAACCACAGTGTCCCTCCGCTTGCCAATTATTTTCAGGCATTGTGTGCTTTGGTGTGAGTAATTTTTAAAAAATTACCAGTCTAAGCTTTTCTTGCTATGCAGATGTTCCGTTGAGGGAAAGCACTGGCATTGTCTGCTGAATTTCTCCTTGTTTTAAGCCACAAGAACCCTGCAGGAAGAAAAATGAGTAAGATACAAACAGGTTAGTGGGCAGGCTTATAAACCCCTGCTACATTCCACAGTATGTCCTGCTCTCTCAGCATAAAATTTTTTTGAAAATCTAAAAACACCGATACCTTCCCTTTTCTCAGTCTCGTACACACCTAACTGGGAGGAAGCACCATCAACACAGTGGGATTTGCTTCCAAGAAAACATGGATAAAGATGTCGCCGTAAATATTGGAAAGATGTGGTAACTATTCTGTGAGGAGGAAGGAGTATTCTGCTCATGCCCAGAGACACTTAATAGTGTGTTCTAGTACCTTAAAGTCTAACAAGTTTCTTTGTGGCATAAGCTTCCATAGATGCACAAACATTCGTTTATAAACTTGTTTGTCTTTTAAGGTGGCACAAACAGCTTTGTTGTTTTTAGTGCAATAGACTAACACGGAATACCCTATTAGAAATATACCAGAGATCACATATCCCAGATTTCAAGGCTGAGGACCTGTGATAAAAATTAAACTCTCATTTTCTAAATGAGCTGCCACTATTATTCAATTCATGTTCACAACTTGTAAAATTTAAGATTAGTTTTGCTGTAAATAGTCATTTGCGATCTTAAAAGCAGATGACTCTACCAACAATTATTACTTGAAAGATTTCAGATAGGAGATAATAGACCATATGTAAAAGTGTGTTAGTTTAATGGACAATTACATTGAGAAGATTTTAATCTCAAACTGGCACTTGACACCTGGAGACTAAAAGGGGTTTATTGAACCATCTCATCCACTAAGCCATAAAAGCTAATCTGGTGTATTGAACCCAATCAAAACTTGGAGAAGGGTAACATTTTAAGTATACATGCAGAAATAATGGATAATAATATAACAATGCAACCATTTGTTCTGAGATACTTAAAAGAGGATGGAACAGAATGAGTGGTCATGCATATTTTCATAGTATCATAGAATAGTAGAGTTGGAAAGAGCCATGAAGGCCATCAGCTCCAACCCCCTGCTGTTGCAGGACACCATGTCACACCATCCCACTCAGATGGGACTCAAGTGAAAATATTTTAATTATTAATAGTGAAAATTCTGGTTGTACAAAATAAGAAAAAAAGGAAGCACCACTGCTCCAGGTTTGGATTAATGCAAGTTGGTTAACTATCAGTTCCTCATTATGTATATCATTCAACTTGTTTTGACAGCTCATCACTATCTGGGAGTGGGAGGTCCTTATTTTTGCTGCAACAGGTGTGGTTGTCCTGCCACACTCAGCCTTAAGTATGATCTTCACAGTGGATACCATTGTATAACTTGTTCGTTTTACTTTTTAATTGCTCTTTTAAGTCAATGTAGAACATTTTTCTAGCTATAGGTTTTTTAAACAGTGAAATACAACTTGTGAGAGACTATTATAATGCTATATCCTATTTTTTACAACTTACATTTTTGCAAAGTAATTTAAAAAGCAAGTTTTTAAAGCATATCATTGTAGTGTTTGAGGAAAGAATAACGAGTATTATAGCATTGTTCCTCTACAACACTTGAATGCTAACTTTAAACAAAAATAATAATAAATCTTTTTCTGGTAAACATCAGTAGTAGCTGCATATTTTACTCTGTTCCTGTGAAATCAATGAGACTGTTCTAGAGAGTGTGCCTTATGTTCTAGTTTTAAAAAGACTACCAACTGGTGGTTTCCACCATTGTTTAGGTTACTTGCTCACTAGTACAAATTCTAAATTGTACTCCATAGAGTTTGCACTAATGATTTCACAAAGCTATCAGTAGTTTCTCATGAGAAGCAAAGTCACTACCCCTTGCAGACTGTGACCTTGCCGTATTTTGTAATGTCAAAAAAGCCACAATATGTTTATACTATAGCTGCAGCTTATCTTGCAGTTAGAAACACTTCTTTGCAAGGGCCCTTTGGCCATTGGTAGAAAGTGCAAATTTTACAATTCTTTTAAGAGGATTAGAAAATTAATATTCTGCAAGGGAACAGGGTGCTGACACAGCACAACAGAATCCTAAGCCTTAGCATTATAGCTGACTTATAGACACTGTCAGATACCTTTCAATTGCTTACAGGGTGTAAATTAGCTATATTATTTCACACTGGCCTAGTTTATGTCTCAGCAGCTACATGTCCCTGCAAGGGTTTCTTTTGAGTGCAAAGAAAGTGCTTTGCACTCAAAACCACATTATTGTTATATAATGTGGTTGGGAGGTGGAGCCAAGTCCCTCCAGCATTTTACTTCCTGCCCTAAAATATCTGATTATGATATAATGAAATAAATAAGCAATGCCAATGAAACCTACAAAAAAAGTTTGCAAAATCTCCTCTGAGGTTTTTCAAAAGTACTTGGCATTTTCAAGCTGCTGTTGGCCTTTCTCTAATCTTGCCACTGAGACCTATGAATCCTGGTGCAGTGCCTTACCTGAGAGCAAATAAGCTCCAGGAAGAAAAATGTGGAGAGGATAAAGAGAAAAAAAATAACATTGTTGTCTTGAGCCGTTCTGGCACCTTAGGCAAACATTGCAGCTTACTTATATTTCTTGTTTCACTAGCACAGAGGTGTAGCTGTTTAATGGAAAGCAGATTTTTTTTTTAAAGAATGAACCCTGCATCTCTCTTGCCTCCCCACCCACATGGAACTCAAAGTGGCATGCAAAGAATTACAGTTCTTCCATCTTAGTTCTGACCCTGCTTAGACTTGCTCTGCTGCATCATGTCTTCTTCAAACCATGCATAGCCTCTGTACTTTTTGTGGTTGCTCAGAAAGGATTTGGGCAGCCTGTCATGCAATAGTGGGGTGGGGATAATTGCCTCTGCAAAATCCTTGCATCATACTGCTCTTTTGTCATTTATGGAGACTCTTTATGAAGATCTATAGGCGTCTGTGTGTCCTATAGGCAATGCTCTATTTAAAGGCTTGTCTGAACCAAGGATGATAAGAAAAGAGAGCAGGGGCCTGAAAGGTGCCCATCAACAGTTGCACCTACAATGCAAACAGGGCAGGTATGCCAGAAATCACCTGGTCACAGCCTTTCCTACAGTGCATTGCATTTCTATTTCAAAATCTAGTAATCACTTCTATGTTTAAATCTAGGTGGAAATTGTATGCATATCTGCCTCTTCAGTTTCTGCTTTGCCCCTGTATGAGTGGTCACTTTATATGTACCGAAAGCGGCAACGGGCTTGTGGAAAAAATGTGTGTTTTCAGCATTACACAGTACTGCCTTCCTGATGAGTGGTTGATGAGCATGTGCATGTCTTAAGTAAGAGAGGAGGAGCCCTACAAATACAAACAAATAGAAATGCATCACTAGGTCACATTATTTCCCATTAGCCCAGCACCGTGTACTCTCAGAAATGGAAGGTGAATCTTCATCCACTTGCACATGCAGATGGTCCCATCGACAGGTTGGGCAAAAATACTCATTGAAGTATGGGTTACACCTATGGGTTACACCCTTGTACACTGCTGAAAACCTCCAACTGTTTCCCACAGAGTGTCCCCCTGCTCCTTTCCTGTTCACTGAACAGCATCATACCTGCATACCTTTGCACTTCTTCAGGCTGTATAAGTACAACTCTGTGCAAAAGATTGTTATCGTCTTTAATGTTGTTTCAAGAGGCCTGTCCCTTAAGATGAACCAAGAGGAGCACTTTCTATCAAAAGGCAATACATTTTTATCTTCGTACAAGGGCCACCCAGAATGTAGCGCAGACCTTCCTATTTTGAGTTTTGCTGTTTTTGCAAAGTTAAAATTATTAACAGCCAGAGAAAACTACCATGGTTTAGCTTCTGAGCAAAAATTAGATCCAGTATCATACTGTCGACTTTTTCACAACTGCATAGCTGACAGGTGTCAGACACGTTTGGATTGTATCACCTCCCTAGAAGGGAAAAGCACAGCAGCCTTCAGACTGGGCTTGGCTGATCTGTCAGTCATTTGCCTCTTCTGTGGAGCAACTCTGGTCAAGCAAAGTACGAAGCAACCCAACCAGAAGGACACGGGAGGGTGCAGGGAGAAGGCGTTGGAAAGCTACCATTAATATGCCACTGCATTGGGCACCCAATTTACCACTGGAAAAGAAACTACCCTGTAATGCTACTAGGGGCAAACCTAGTAAATTGCTCCCTAAAGGGGCTTTCAAAAGCCCTGATGTTTGCTTTTGTTATGCCGCTGTTGCTAAGGAAAGCTTCCCACCCTGCCTAGCAACCAGACCCTTCCATACCAGAGAGTATAAGGCTTTGCCATAGAGGTACGCAAATATAGACTGACAAACAGTCTAAACTTCCGATAAAAAATGGAAGATTAGTATCTCTATGGGCCGTGTGCCAATCTAGCGCCTTCTTGACCGCAGATTTCCGTCATTATGTGCGGCGCTTCCTGCGAGTTATTTCTATGGTCAGGTGAGCTTTTATAGCCAATCAGAGCCACAGTAAGAGCGACTGCGCAATCGTTTCCTCCAAGTCTGGTGGTTAGCTCAAATTCATATTATAGACTCATACATTATACCTGAATTCCGAGCTGTCTTTGGATCCACTTTTTTAAAAAAGCTCTGATTTGGTGTTGGTTTGTTTTTGGTTTTCGGACATTTCCAATTTACATTTTCTTTACATTTCCTTTACATGTTTACTCCAAGTAAACTTCATCGAATTCAATGGCGCTTACTCCAAAGTGTGCCTTGTTAAATGCAGAACGTTGTCTACCAAGCGCCGGATTTGGACGGGAAGAGATCTGAGGAACTGTAAGCAGATCGCTCTTTCTTCCAAATTAAATAAGAGTTTTCTTATTTAAACACTTTAAGAGGGGAACTTTAAGCTAGAAAGCCAAGCTCAGCTCTGTCCTACTTGATTTTGAAAGGCTGTCCTATTTTATTGCTTGCATTTTACTGACGTGTTATTTTTATCTTTTAAAGATTTTGTTGCAAACCAACACATGAACGTAGGAGCGATTCACAAATGTACTGTTGGTGTGTAAACTAATGATATTTACACACCTAAAGTCCAATGGCCCTTTGACCTTCTCATCTCTACTGGTCTATGATTCTATGGTTTATTGAGATGATGGCTATCTCCCTATATGTTATCTCCCTGTCAGTCAATATATCTACAGGCACCACATGCTGTGGAACATGGGCAGGAGATACTGTTGCATTTGTGTCCTGCTTGTGGGTTTTCTGTGGACAGGTGGTTAGCCACTGTGTGAATCCGAGCTAAATGGATCCTTGGCCCAATCCAATGTGGCTATTCTTATGTTCTTAACTATGAAGTTCATTGTCTCAGACTGTAATTGTGGCTGACTACCTAGATGGCTTTAAAAAGGGATTGGGCAAAATCATGGAGGAAAAGGTTGTCAGTGCCTACTAGTTCGGAGAGCCGTGTGATACCCCCGATATGCCAACATACACCAGTTGCTGGGGGACATGAGCAGGCTACTGTTGCACTCATGCCTGGCTTGTGGGAGCCCATGGGCAGCTGGTTGGCCCCTGAAAAGAATGCTGGACTAGGTGGACCCCTGATCGGATCCAGCTCAGCTCTTCATGTGTTCTCATTCAGCGGTTTCTGTGGACAGCTCACGTTCTCACGGAAAAGAGAGCAAGAAAGACACAAGATCCGAAGACACTCGGCCTATTTACGTACTCTACACGTTTTCAATCTCTAGGGTTCTTATTGGCGATCTATTTCCGGTCTTTACCGGAAGGCCTACTCTCCTCCTATTACGGGCCCTTTTCCTTTCCCCTGGGGATCCCAACAAGCAGGGAAAAAGTAGGACCTTCCGTGTAGGCAGCGCAGCTAAGTGGCTTCCCCGCTGCGCCCCTTCCCGTCGGCCGTCGACCACTTGGGGGAGCGCTCCGGCCGAGCTGCTGGCGTCTTCCCACCTTCCGACAGGAGCAGAGGGCGGGTGGCCGCCTTCCCGGAGGGGTGGCCGCCGTCCGCTTTCTCGTGGGGAGCGATGAGCCTGGTGGAGCCGCTCGGCGGGAAGGCGGGCCTGCAGACCCGAACCTTGAGCGATCCCGCCTTAGGTATGTTGAGGCTGGCAGAGGGCTGGGCTTGGGCCGGCCGGCGTGCCTCCGTTGGGCGTCGCTTTCGGCAGGAGTTGTTCAGGCTGCTGAGAATATAAGAGAAGCTCTGCTGGATCAGACCGAAGTCCAGCTAGTCCAGCATTGTTTGACACGGGGGCAACCACTGCTCCCAAACGGGTCTTGAGTGCAACAGCACTCTCACCCATGTTCCCCAGTAACTGGTGTCTGTAGGCGTTCTGCCTCTGATACTGGAGGTAGCTCTAGTAGCCGCTGATAGTGTTCTCCATGAATGTGTATAACCCTTTTATGTCATTTAAAGTTGATGGCCCTCAGCATATTTCATGGCGGTCAACTTCATTGTTAAGAATATAAGTGCTTTACTGGATCAGACTAATGGGTCCTTCTTGTCCTTCTTTCTGTTCACATAGCAGCCAAACAGCTGCCCACAGGAAACCCACAATTAGGATGTGAGCACAAAATCGCCTTCCTACCTGTTTTCTCAGCAACCAGCATACAGGGGCCTATTGCCTCTATATAGCCACCAGGACTAGATAATATTGATGGTGTTAACTTCCAGGAATTTGTCTAATTGCATTCTAAAACTATTTCAGTTGACAACCATCTCAGTCTTGTGGAATGAATTTCACAGTTTAATTATGTGCTGTCTGAGCAAGTGTTTTCTTTTGTGTGACCAGTATCTTCCACTGCTATTTTAGGAGAGGGAGAGAAAGGTCCTCCTATTCACTTTCTCCATACTGTGCATAATTTTGTACATCCCTATCATGTCTCCCCTTATGTGCCTTTTTTCCAAGCTAAGCAGCCCCAGACAGTCTCTCAGGCAATCCGGCTCTCCTGGTATTCCCCATTTTGTAACAATGCATTTGTTTTTCCCCCACTAGGTGCAGAACTTGGCCTTTGTTTCTTTTATAAATATAGTAAATTCTGTTGTTTTCAGTCCAATTAGGTTATCCTTGACTATTTGCCTATCAATCTTGGACTGCCATCCTGTTCCTTCAGCTTGTACTTCCCCCTCATCAGGAAGGTCATAGATCTTTTGGGAGAAGACTGAGCCCAAGTAGAAGCTGACCATTTCTGCCTTTCTTTTCATCTCTTACCACTGTACCACCCACACTGAGTAGCTGAACCTCAATTTCTTTCCTCTTTCTTTTACTTTGGGCATAACTGAAGAAGGCTTTTTGTTGCTTTTAGCATCCCTCACTAGCCTCTATTCATTTCTATCTTTAGCCATCCTGACACCTTCCCTGAAATTATGTGTTACCTGCCTGAATTCTTCCTTTGTAATCTGGCCTTTCTTCCACAAGCTTGACTGCTTATATCGCAGAGTCCCTAGACCAACTGAGGCAGCTTCCTCTGATCTGCTCAGCTAGGAGTCAGGAATCAGACTTATGTCATGTATTTAAGGTGCAGGAGAATGGCCAATAAAAATTGGCAAGCCAATTGTCAGAATGGACTTGATATTCCCTTGCTATTTGTACAGAAGGTGAGAATTTTAGCAGAACAGCTTTTTGGCTCCACTGCAGCACTGGGACGTAACAAGCTGCACCTGCCTAAATTTCTTCTCTCATACTAATAGTGAAAGTGCAAGAACTCTGTCTGACATTAGTTAAGTGTAGACAGCAGAATGGAGGTTCCAGTATATTTCTTTGATGGGAAATGTCTATAGTGGGAGTTCATTCCTATAATGTTCCATTTTGTGGTACAAACTGATTGTCATTTAAATCAGGAAGATACTTTAGAAGGACATTTTATGTTTAATAATGTTGTTTGATAATGGCACGAATGGTCAAAAGACATTGTGGAAGAATTGTTTAAGCCAGTTTTTAATAAAAGCTTAGAATGAATGCATTCTTTTTTTTCTCCTTCTTTTTTTAATGGCAAGAACTGATTAGATTGGTTAAATACAGTGAATTGTTTTAGTATGATGATAAAGAACTCCAAGGCTCAGAAAGCTGCATGAGGTTTCTGATTTGAACACTCAGGGACTGAATATTCAATATTTATCAATTGTCCATTCATATTCTCTAAATGTAATGCTCAGGGCAAAGACTATCTTATTATTAATTTTTGTAATCTGCTGTGAAGAGATAAACAACTTCAGAATTCATGCCCATTTATAAGCATTCACACTAAGAGTATCAGACTTTTTATAGGGTATCTGAGAATTAAGTTAATTGCATGGTGCAAGCTAGTATTTCTTGTAGCTGTTGATCTGTTGATCCATTTAAGCCTTTATTTGTAATATTTATAAACTTGCTCTCTATTGCAGATTTTGCTGATCATTCTCCTGATGAAGGTTTAGTAGAAGACTTCACTGCTGTAGATAAGAAAGCTGTAGAACAGCTAACCAAAGGATTACTTTCACATTATTTACCTGATCTACAACGGTCAAAACTAGCCTTAAAAGAATTAACGTACGTAAAACAAGAAAACGGCATGTGTAACTTTTTGTCTGTTATAAAAATCCTGAATGGATTGCTTGTCAGTAGAATGAGTCTCCCTTTTTATTTCTGTTCAGAGGTCACCAGAAGAGCTATTTCCACACTTGCTCTCATTTATGTGGATTTGGGCATACAGCAGTGTTCTGAATTTTATTCTCCACCAAATCAAGGTCTGCCTTGCTCGTGGACGTGGGTGGAGTAACACACTTGAGAAAACTACTGTGTCCTCACTAGCAGATAGTATTAAGTTTGCACATATTCATCAACAGTAGTTAATATATGTTTGGTCAGGACTGTGAAGGGGTGATTGAATGTACTGTTTCCTATCCACTCTCTACTGCCACTTTGCATTCAGTTTAGAAAATACCCCATTCCTGGGTTGTTCAGCATGACATGCAAACCCAGAACTCTGGCTTATTGAGGGGAAAACAGTCCAGTGTTTTAACTCAACAAGAAACAGTAGTGGCAAGCAGGAGAAGGCAACATGCTCTTTCACTCTTGTGTGGTCCCAGCAAGCCATGAATAATGCATTGATTGGTGTTATATGCTAACCAAGTCAATATTTCAACATTTTTATGTTTTACGTAGTTTGATTTCAAAGTGCATGTAAACAATTATGTCGTCCTTTCAGACAGAACCAGGAAGTACTATTAGAAACTCTACAGCAAGAAATCTCAAAGTTTAAAGAATGTAGTTCTATTCTTGACATCAATGTACTGGTAAGTGTGTTCTGTCAGTTGTTTGGTTAAAATGTTATATGCTTCAGTTTCTATGGGAAACACTACAAAAGGCATCTTTTCCTTGGAGAATTTCTTTGTTAAGTTGGTGAAACCCTCACCACAGGATATCCAGCCTGACATTGTTATGGGGGAAACTTAGCTTCTTATTTAGAAGTTCCATTATTTCATGTTGCATTTAGGGTTGACTCCGTGAAAGCTGCAATCCTATGCACAGTTTAATTTCCGTGAGAGCAAGCCCCATTGCACACTGGGGTCTTATTTTTGTGTATATTCAGTTAAGCAGCCATCCAAGATCTCTGAATGATGTGCAAAGTGAAGACAAATTAAAAATCAAAGTGATCTAAGAAGCAGCAGCAAACAGGAAAACTATAAAACCAAAACAAATTTCTTTAAAATAACAGTTAAGTGATTATAAGATATATAGGTGGGGTGCTTGTTTGGGCAGAAATGGTGATTATATGTATTAAAAAATGCAAGGGTTTCAGTATCACTCCTTGGCCTCTACAGTCATTCAGAATTTGCAGAAGGGGATAGAGCCTGATAATATGTATTCTTACTTGGAAGTACTTATCATTGAACCCGTGGTACGAATTTCCACCAGGTATGTGTGCATAGGATTACAGTGTGATGCTTGCTTCAGTTTCTTCCAAGTGGCTGTTTGCCTTTTCAGATATCATTTTGAAGTTAGTTAAATGGGCAAATACATTTAGGCTTAATTTCATTTTTTTTCTTAAGTTTTCAGAAGCGAAACATTATCACAATAAGTTGGTAAACATTAGGAAAGAGATGATGATGCTCCATGAGAAAACATCAAAGCTGAAAGTGAGTTTCATTTCCTTTTGCTTTGCAACAGTCAAACAATTTGTGCTGCTTATTCTTGCTGATGCTTGGAGAGCTTTGCAGATTAAAACTGATCCTTCACATACTGTGTTCTTCTCTTATATTGCCATTGTATAATCTCCAGTGTGTGAAGTTATTGACTTCACTGTCATCTGTTCATGTTATGAAAAGCTTGTCACCACAGATTCTGCTGTACATGTTACAAGTAGCAGATAGTAGGATCCTGCCTAGTCTTGTTTCTGCACTCATGGAACATCCTTCTAAGAAAACATCAGACTTCACAGCTCAAAAGCTGTAACCTTGTTCACACTTATTTGCAGGTGGCTTGTGCTGAACAATGTAAGATTTACTTCCAAGAGAACATGCTTAGGCTAAATGAAAGTTACCAATACGTGATATCTCATTCTCTTTTCTGATGTAAAAGTTAACTTTAAATTGATGCATGGCACGAAGGGCCCAGTGGGCGCTTAGGCCCCCGTCGATTCCCTTATGTAAGCACTGGATCCACTGATTCTGTTGCACAAGCAGGATCCAGTGCTTAGGCAAGGTAGATTTAGTGCTTCCTAGAGGAAGCCCTGACTCCCCCCTCTCAGAAATTAGCATTTCTGCTTGTGTTGGGTTGTCCCAGAAGCATTAAATGTTGAGTGGTGGAATTGGCAGGTTGTGAGAGCATCTGTGGGGACATATGTGAAACTGCTCCCAAACTCTAGAATGCACCCCCTCAGGCGCTCTTGGGCTTTTAATAAAAGTCCAGAGGCACATTTTTGGATTTCACAGTTCTACAGTTTTACTGTTTGATATTTTTATTGCTTTACACTGTTCTGCCTGGATTGCTTTTAGCAAATAAGGGAGTATATAGATGAAGAGGCTAATGTATACAAAATATTTGTTCAGAATCACTTCAGCATTTGTGTGTATTGCATAGAATTTCCCCTTGACCAAGCAACATCACCTGACAAATGAAGGTGTTAAGTGCTGACGGACAGGAAGCCAAAGCTGAGAAGCAAAGGGTTGACATGCTTGGGCAGTTGCAAAAGTACAGAAATAGCTGAAAAAACAAAACTAATTTTGGGCCATCACTTAATAACCCAGTGGGGACAGCCTTCTCAGTAGCTATGGGATATTCATTGGGGGGAAATGGAAAGTGGAGGGACAGTGAAAGCGCAACACCACCATAGGAGGGAATGGCTGCTTCAGACACCGAATGCAAAAACTCCTGTAAGGAGAATGTGCAGCAGTATGCATAGCAGAGCGCACTTGTGTTGTACTGAAAGGCTGGTGGGAGACGAAACTTGGCACCATAGCAGCCAAAAAGTGCAGCTGCCATGCTGTCAGATACAGTTGTGTGTTTTTTTTTTAACTTCAGAAGATAACATAGCTTTCCAAAACGTCATTTTTTCAGAAAAGAGCTCTCAAGCTCCAGCAAAAGAGGCAGAAAGAAGAGCTAGAACGAGAACAGCAACGGGAGAAAGAGCTTGAAAGAGAGAAACAGTTAACTGCCAGACCAGCTAAAAGAACATGAAAGCTGAACATGTATTGGCTTGTTGAACTATTATCAGATCCCTTGGACTTAACTGGGGAGACAGTGCTGGGACTCATGACCTGATGTTTGTGATTGCCAAGAAATTTATCAGCACAGTACTAATATTTCCAGGTTGCTATTAACTAATCAGGAAAGCGGTTATGAACAAGGAGCTTTCCTTTTCAGCAGTTCAAGGTGGCTTTTTGACCAAGTCTCTGCGGCCTAGTGTTGCTGTGTCAGATTTTCCGCCCACACGTGTGTGTGTGTGCATGCACTCGCATGCACACAAATGGGGTAAGACATCACTTTGATAGCACAGTGTCTTACATTGTCTGGCTGACATGAATAACTCCAAGCTTGAATGTGTTTTCTTAATTGGTGTGTTCCACATCATTTGCTATATTCTAGATTTTAAAAATAAGTTGTTTTCATTAATGAGTGCCGATAAATGAATCTGTGTTATCTTAAACGCATGGCAAAATGTGGAAAAATAATGAGTCAACTTCATGTTCCCCATTTTTATTGCTTTACCTTCAGTAAAATGTTTTTTGATTCCATGTTACGTACTCAGCCATGTGAATGGGGGGAAAGGCCCAAACTACTTTAAAACAGAGTGTTATCTATGTCCAGTCTTAGGGTTAATAAGAGATTATCTGTAAAAATAAAGCACATTTGAAGAATTTTGCAAGAAAAACAATGCATATGTGTATTCCTCAGCACAAAAAAAAAGTGGTGGTTCCCACATATTTCTACAAGAAATGTATATAAATTCTAAATGCCACATCTATTATCAGATGCCAAGGAAAGGCCTTTTGACAGTTATAGGCAGCCTACTTATATATACTGTATATAAGTAGCTTCGTTGTAACATAATAGAAAAATAGAGAGAAACCGCTCAATGAATTGTGGTATACCAAATGTAGATCTCACAGTCCCTTGCCTTCCTCCGTCACCATCTTGAGAGTAAAGGATGTGTTCCATCCTCCCCAGTCTTGGTTAGACTAATAAAGTGATCGCATCAGGCATGTGAGAGATTGGGATTCCAAGCAGCATAATAGGAGTTTGTTCTACAGGATCCTGTGTGATACATTGTAATCCCTATTTCCCTTCGATGTAGAGTACTTAACCATAGAAGTGCGTAACAGGCAGATAATAGTTCTCTAGAATACTAGCAAAACAATACTTCACTGTATTATCTAATTGTGTATTCCACTCATAAATCTGTTGTGTTTTCTTGACCTTGCACTCTGAATCAAATATGCTAAAGGCAGTAATCCTATACATTTTTTTTCATCTAAAAGCCTACAATTTCCAGCATGCCCCAGGAAGTAATGCTGATTGGGGAATGCTGGGAGTTGTAGGACTTCTTTTCCTGTCTAAACTTCCATAGGGTTCTACCTGAAAGAACCAGTTTTCAAAAGCTATTGGAACATCACCCAAGTTTTTTTTTTTTTTTAACTTTGTTTGCACTCTGAGCTTTTGCATGTAGGTATTTAATTTACTGATTAATTTATGGCTGGCAAAGAGTTGTAGGACTTTTTCTGCCTAAAATAGGATTGTCACTAACTCATGTTTATATTTGAAGTTTAAAATTCATAGTGAAACTATCTCTTCAATGTATTTGTGTGCTGATCACTAGAAGTTGCTCAGGATAACAACACACAAGAATGATGGGTGTAGTTATGACAGTGTTTTGTATCAGCACAGGTTTGTTGAAACATACAAGGTGGGTCTGTTATATTGGTATCTTGTTTATATTTGATTCAAATGCTGAAAATGGTGTATATTTTTAAGCACACCACTTGCTGGGGGAAGGGGAGTGCTGTTACAGAGTGATATGTTATCACTTCTTAACCCAGCCAGGGCATCTTTGCCAGGCAGACATGAACTTGCGGGGAACTGGTTATTTAAAGCTAAGCTGCTGTCCCAAGGGTCTGATTCAATCATATTAATTGCCTAAATTGCAAGGGTATAGTGGAGAGGAAGATCCCAAATATGAGTAACTCTTGAGTAGGAACTGAGCAACAGTCTTGAAAGAAGTTACCCTTTGTATCAGCAGCTCTGTCCATTTTTTGCAACACCACTAGGAGTCATACAGGAAGGTTCTGGATATGCTCTTGCCTTGCATCTTTCTGGGGGTCACCTCCGAAAAGGCGCGCTGCTTACTGGCTCCCTGCATCGCCTCACTCGGCGGCGAGGCTTCCTCCGGGAGGCTGCAGGCTGTCCGGGGCAGGAATGTGTGGAAGGAAGCGGCCATTCGGGCAGCCTGCCCCGCAGACTGCTGAGAGCGCTGAACATTAAGCCCAGCACCTGGGCTTGGCCACTGCTTCCCGCCGCCCTGGTCCCTTCAGTCAACCTGCCCAGCAGCACCCGCGAGTCCATTGCCAAGGAAAGAGATGTCGGGGTTCAACCCCCCTGACCTCCATCCCCCGCCCCCCAAAATCTGGAAGCCCCACGTCTCTGGGGAAAAGGAATAAAGCTAATTTCTCTGAAAGAAGAGTGTGGGGCACGCGATGAGGAAGGACAGCCAGACACGCTCGGCGAGCCGGAGCAGAAGCGCAACGCATTCTGCACGTGCTCAGGAGCCCTTCGCCCGAGTCTGGCTCGCCGCGCGCGCGCCCCAGCAGGGCGCGGCCAGGAGGCGCACCCGGCGCCCCGTGCTCGCCTCGCCTCGCCTCGCCCGCCGCCCTCCCCGCTGATAGCGACTGCGCGGCTCTTGCGCCACGGAGGGCGGCGGCCTTCCGCGCGGACGGGCAGCGCGAAGCCGAGCGGTGAGTACCCTCCGCGGGCCGGGGGGCTCCGCCTCGCCCCCGCGCCCCCCGCCCGGCGCTTCCGTGCTCCCGGGGCGCACACGCCACAGGAGGCGCTCCGAGCGCCCGTCCTCGCCGGGCCGCCAAGTGCGTTTCGCGTGTTAAAGGGCTTCGCAGAGTTCAAGCGGGGAGCGGGCGTGGGAACGTGAGCGGGACGCGGGGCTCGGGGTTCGCCTGCCCGAGGATTCGGGGCCCTGTGCCACACGAGGGTATCTCTGTGCAGCGCAGGCGGCTCGCTGCCCTGGTTCCTGTTACTCGGTGCCAGGAACTCTTCGTCGGTCGGGCCACAGGAGGGGGGAAAAAGAGCCAGAGCGCTCGTCTCCTCAGGACTCTCCTTTCTTTAAAAAGGGAGGTATGGGCAAGGGAGAGGAGGATATTTGATGGGGGTGGGGGAGGTAAACCTCAGAAAGATACAAGGGGGGAACAGAGGGTGAAGCACTTATTGTTAACCCCCCCGCCCCCGGATCAGAGGGAAGAGAGCCCTTCAGGGCCCCCGCACCCTTATTTCAGAAATTGCCATGGATAGCGGGGAGGCAGGCGGCCAGCCTCCCAGAAACTGGGGGCTTCAGCCCTAGCGGGCCACCCCCAAATGCTGCTTCTCTGTCTGTGCATGTTGTGGAGTCTGTTTTGTGAAGCGGAGCTCTGTCTTCTCACACGGCCCTGACCTCTGAAGTGTTGTGAAGCAAAACAGACGTTGGATCAGTTCATCCTCTCGCCAAGGCTACTGCCAGAGTCTCGCTTGATCAAAAGTCTGCTTGAGCAAGCGACCTGTTTTCTACAGATCACCTTTCTCACCCTTGCAGACGGGGGGGATTCGGGGATTTGTAGTCCAAGGGAGCACTTTGGAGAAGGTTGCTCTTGTTCCTACTTCTAACAACTGGTGTAACTACTCCTGAACTGAGAGATTCAGCTACTTGACTTCTCCCTATGAATAAATAGTGGAGTCCTGTAACAGACTTTTAGATCTGCATGGAAGGACTTCAGGTCGTAGGGCAGGTAACATAGTTTCCTAAATTGCTGCCCAGGAGTTTGGGGAGTATGACCAACCAACAAGAGCCACATATTTATTTATTATATTCATATCCCACCTTTTTTCCTATCTCCTCCTCTCCATCTTAACCTCGCAACAACCCTGCGAAGTAGGTTGGGTTGAGAGTCTGTGATTGGCGCAAAGTCACCCAGCTAGCTGCCTGGTCCAAAGGGGACTAGAACCCAGATTCGGAGCATCCAGCCCCACACTTTTAGGCACTATACCACGCATAGCATCTCAGAAGCTCATGTTAGCTCTCTGCTTTCTCCCCATCACTGAGAGTGTACAGCATTTATCAAGACTGTGTGACAAGCAGCAGTTCAGGGCATGTAGTGGTCATTAGGATTATGTGACAGACAGCAGTTCAGCAGATGCAGCTTTTCCCCAGTTAGAGTTGACGTGATAGAAAAAGTCATGCTAGGTCAATTGATGCCTTTTCTACACTCGATTTTTTTTTTTAAATCACAGTACCCTTTCCAAAAGGAAGTCAGATTTGGAATATTCAAAGCCTCGTTTTATTTATTTATTTATTTATTAAAACATTTTTATGCCACCCCATTCGCCAAAGCCTCGGGGATTTACCTGGATTTCAATGTGGAGAGGTCATAGCTAGTTGTAGACATGAGGTAAAAATAAGGTTTGTTATTGCCTTAAGCAGCTTGGCCCCGGGATAGCTGAGAAAGAACCTTCTCCCTTGCCTGCCCCCTAGGCACCAATGTCACCAAATGATGGGTTCCTGGTGCTTCCTCATTGACTTGCAGACTGTTTGGAATCCACTTGGAGCAGAGCTTTTAGTGTGTTGGCACCCTTTGTACAGAACTCCCTGCCTATGGGCAGGCTTTGGCATTGTTTTATTTTCAGCATCTGCTGAATAAATTTGACATAATCAGCTGTGGTCTTACTGGCATAATTTGACGTTATAGGGTTTAATGCTTGTATGTCAGTTGCTGCTATTCTCTCCCCAGCTTTCACCAATCAGATATTTTATGGATGTAGAAAGGTACATATATCTTGTAAATAAATATTCTTTTTAAATGTTTTGCACGCAGATGATCCTGGCATGGCCAGTTATAAAAGCACTTTTTCCGGCCACCCAGGAGAGATACTTGCAAAGCAGGCGATGCTGGTTTCATGCTGCCCTACAAACTGATGTAGGGCAGCTTTTTGTGTCATTATGGTTTCAAACGAGAAGTAAACCCACTAAGAACAGAACATTGGATCATAAATGGGCTGACAACGGTTCTGTCATCTTTTGCACCAAAGGTGGGCTGCCTGTGGAAACTTCAATGGAGTAGAACCTTATTAGAATAGGGAAGTTTGTAATATCTTCTAATTATGCTTTCTTGTTCATCCCTTGCAAACATTTCATGTAAGTATTTTTATAAAGCTTTCTAATTCTGCATTTTTTCTCAATGACCCTGTAAGGAAAATTTATGGGAGGGCTTAGGAAAGGCATAGGGGGAAATGGAAGGCAGAGTCAGAAAAAGAAAGCAAAATGGGAAGAGAAACTTGGCAGAGAGGAGAGTTATGCATGATCAAGAACTGGGGAAACAAGGACAGCTGCAACTCACATAACTGATCTGAAAAGACCAGTTAGTGAAGCTGTACTCTACAGTGAGTAACTAATAGCACAATGCTATGTGCTGTGGTCTCATAGAGTTCAGTAAGTCTTACACCTGGGTAAGTAGCATGTCGGATTATAACTACAGAGCCATCAAAAAGGCACTGGATAAAAATCAGGTGTGTATTTAAGGAAGGGGCCTTGGCTCACCAGGAAGGGCACATGCTGTGTGTTCAGAAGGTCCCAGTTCAGTCTCCGGCATCTCCGGTTCAAATGAAGATGATCCTTTCCTGTTTGAGCTTCTGGAGGGCTGATACCAGTCAAAGATCCCTCCCGTAGCTTGGTTTTCCATAGAGAGCTAGTCTTCATTGAATGGTCATGCGAAACTGGGGGTGGGGGGCAGTGAAGGCACTGCGCTGTAATGCATATGGTCAGAACAGTCCATCCTGGGAAAAACCACACCTGTTTCCTTTCTGTTCAAAACAAGCATGGAAATAAATAAATCTTCTGAAGTTATATGGCATTTACTCCTAAAAGCATGTTCACATCTTCCCCCAAATCTTCACCATGCGATGTGTTAGCCGCTATTACGCTGCAGATTTGTTGTGCATTCAGTCCTCTTCATCTCACTGTTGTTCGGCATAAGGCTGCAAGAATTCGCGTGCTTGGCTTTGGTTTGGGCTGTACAGAGCATAAACAGGACCTGGGAAGACAGGATGTTTGCTCGGGGGCCAGCATCTGTGCTCCCCACAATTTACATTCAAAGGTGTGGTTAGCTGACTTTTGGCCACAGTCATTGCAGCCGTAATTCTTCTAAACTAAACATGTCAGGGTTGTGCATGCCGGGGCTATGATTTCCTGCATTTCACAAGCTGCCTGACAAAGTTAAGTGTGTGGTTTGCTATGGTGTTTATTACACATTGCACCATATTTCAGGGCATAGGCTCCCTTTCATTCTAGTTGCATGCTGGGACAGCCGCATGGGCTGGATTTCTCCTAAAAGCAGCCACTTAAAGGCAATCCATAGACATTTAAAATCCTCAGGATTCATGGGGCAACAAATTGGGGACCTGCAGTAGCATTTTGCTGTGTGTAAAGTACCACCAGGCAGTTCCACAATCATATCAAAAGACTCCTAACCTGTAGCTGTTCATGAGTCTGCTGCCCCAGTCGCTCGGTGTAGTTGATTATTCTGCTTGTTTTGCATGACTTTTTCAAATTGGAAGGTTTAATCATTAAGCTATATACCCTTGCAAGAAGGAAATGGATGAAAAGGCAATGGTTCATTCACAAGTTTCATACCAAGATAGCTTTATTTACAAGGCAATCAGGGTGATGTGGAGCATTTGAGAGCTATAAATTTGTGCTGCTGCCGCCAACATGAGAGGATAGTTCTTTTACTGCCTTTGCACTTTTACAAGCACAAAAGTTCCCTTCTATGCTTGCTCTTTGAACTATGCACCCAGCCCTAATGCAACATTTAGGGATCACCAGCCCGGGCACCACTTCATTTATCTGCTCTGCAGCAGCTGAGCCTCCCCTGAAACAAAGCAGACACAGTTAGGATAATTTCTAGTTATAGTCCTGTTTAGAGTAGACCCATTAAAATGAATGGGACTTAAGTTAATCATGATTAACGTGTGTCCTATCCATTTGAAGGGGTGCAGTTATGAAGGACTAACGATAGATAACTAACCAGTGGATGCAATCGCAGGCAAGCTTAGACAGAAATAAGTTGCATGATTCCATGCTAGATGAGGGAAGTCGGGAACTGGATGATTTATTTCTGCCTAAGCATTCATGGGATTGCATCTTAAATTTTTATTCCTGTAGTCATGAGGGTGGAACAAATTAAGCAACTCAAAAATTGGAAATTGAACACATGCAGAGTTTTGTTTTCTTTTTAAGTCAGGGTTGGAACACAGTTTTTATTTGTTTGCTCTAATGTGGCAGAGTTGCAAAACATGGAGAGGAGAAACATTGCTTGTGTATTTTCATACTGAAATAGTATATCTGTCTAAGGGCCGGGCCTCACCCCACCCCTAGAACACTAGTAAATCTAGGGTCTAAAACTATCCAGACCAATTTGTTTTTGAATTATCCAGCATTATTAAGCCAGTTCTCATAAGAGTCACTAACTAATAAGCTTTCTTGACTTTTAAAGTGATTAAAATAAATCAAGATTGATAAACACATGCACTCTCTTTTGAAAAGGCTGGAACAGGAAATGTACATAATGAATCTGGTAACTCACTGTGGGAGCAAAGCCAAACTGTGGAACAAAAGGAGTTGAGTCATTTGTTAAACTGATCAACACGAACACCCTATTTCAAAGGACATATTGGCCTTGCAAAATTTGAATTAATGTAACCCTTCCCCTGCAGTACTATCTAAGACTGCAACTTAAGTGAAAAGGAAAAGGAGAATTTATGTAATCACATTTTTGAAAATTATGGACAGCAGTCAAACTTTCTTTTTAAAAAGCATAATATGTTTCCTGCACCCCATCAAGCTCTATGCAGCAGATACTTAATCCTGGCTTAAAGGGATAGCATGTTAATTCATAAACAACTTGCATTTCCACTTCAGACCATTATTGATGGTCTGATGGTTGTTTTTTGATGCTGGTACAGAAATACAAGGACAACACAATAGCTCTGATTCATGTGTGTGGGCCCAACAAGAATCGCTATGTTTCATGCATATTTTACTCAGTTGCTTGTTATTGTGTACAATTATGTTATGGGGAAAGATTTTGATGAGATTGTGGATCTCCTCCTGGATCACACTAGCTCCTAAGAGGCAAGCAAAGGTGAGGGCTACATGGCGGAATTTGGCCTGATTGACCCTGTGACAGAGTTCATCTAATCTAACCAATTTTCTCCCCCCGCCCCCCTTCTACTCATAACCATTAACAGTGGGAGTATTTTTGGGTTTCTCCGTCCTTGTCAAGCCAGATCAGTGGCTGTAAGACTGGCAGTACATAACAGCAGCAACACTAATGGGCCATGACGGAGTTGTGGACTCAAGGGTTTTTTGGAATCCCAGGAAAAGCAGCATGCCAGGCAGGCCTAGGTTTACTTGCAAGGAGGAAAGCTCTTTGTTGTGCTCAAAATGCTTATGAAGCATTTCGCGGCACTTACTTACAATGCACAGCGCAGACCGGACTGCAAGGCACGCTTCAGTCAGCTTGAACGGACAGTCAGCAAAGGCTCAGTGTCCGGACAGAGTGGGGCTGGGCTAGACACTCATTGTGCACTCTGTGCTGCTGATGCCATGAAGCCCTGAAACCGAAGCAGCCTGGAAGTTTTGCCCCCTAGAAAGTCCAGCTAAGCACCGTACTGACAAGCTGGGACAGGGGGAGGCTGGCAGATGTCCACAGCCACATGAGCGAGCGAGGCCTTGGAATGCTAGCAAACAGCTGCTGCTCGGCTGGTGCTGGATCCCGAGCTGTCCTTTGTCCATCTTCTCTGCTGCGCCAGGCTTTTCGGCTGAGTCAGAAAAGTGGGGAGCGGGGGGGGAGGCTTGCCCACAAAATGGAAGACATCTGCGACCTACAGTCTGGACTTGCAATTTGTGATTAGCCCAAGGCTGGCTCATCTTTGGCACTTTGATGTATCCTTGTTAAATGATGAGTCTTTTTAAAAATTAAAATATTGCCAGGCTACAGAGTGATCAGGGATGCAGGAATATAGATGTCCTGACCTGGATCTGCAGTGAAAAGTCTTTACACTGGATTTTTTGTTTATGAATTAGTAGTCCTTTCAAAAGCTCAAAAATATCCTTTCAAAATTTTAATAGGGTGCATTTTATATTGTACTTTATTTTAATTTGCTGTTGTGAACCACCCAGAGAGCTTTGGCTATTGGGCAGTATGGGATGATCAGAATCAGAATCACAGCAGCAGCTCAGTCAATTTGCGGTGCAATTATAGGAGTTCTGAACCTCAGGCTGGTGTGTCAAATCCAGCTCCCCTGGAGTACCAGTCTGGAGTCTCCAAATACGGCCTGACTCCTCCCATTCATCCCACCCCTGTCCCCAACACCTGACTGTCCGGCAGTTTCCCAGCTATTGGACACCCAATTTTCCCCATTTGGACATGTTTAAATGCTTCTCCTAAGGCTGTGTTACTGTCAGTAAGGAGCTTTAAGCTGCAGTCGGCCAGAGCTTGAGTGGACTCCGGGGGATGGTGGAGGACAGGAAGGCCTGGAGGAGTATTTTCCATGGGGTTGCGATGGTTGGACATGACTTTGTGACTAACAACAAAGAGTCAGTGTGGCGCAGTAGTGAAGAGCACGGGACTGGGACTCAGATGATCTGGGTTCTAGTCCCTGCTCAGCCATGGAGCCAACTGGGTGACTTTGGGCCAGTCACAGACTCTCAGCCCAACCTACCTCACAGGGTTGTTGTGGGGATAAGATGGAGGAGATGTAAGCTGCCTTGAGCCCTTTGTAGGAAAAGGCAGGATATAAATTGAAT